ATATATATATATATATATATATATATATATATATATATATATATATATATATATATATATATACTTTTTCGGCTACCAGATGTAAATAGTTTCTGACACTGGCTAAAAGTGATAATACAACCTGGTTATTCATTTGATTCAATAATATGCCTAGAAGTGATCCTGGCAGCTCTATTTTTTAAAATTTAACTTTTCTTTTTGGAAGAATCAATCGAATTTTTTTAATGTATATATATACAAATTTTATATAGTTTTTGGGCTATTATTTTTACAGCATCTATATAGTGTCATCTTTTCATCGAAAAGCACGGGAGGGGATATTTTCAAGGTCAAAATTTTAGACGATATTATCTAAAAATGAGGAATTAAAGTGATAATTTGCATTATCCAATAAAATGTGAGAAAATATTTTGCTTCAGAGCAGAAGAATCGCTTCATGAATCAGAGTTGGGTAACACCATCAGTTTTTGAACACATTGTGTCAGTAAGACTAAAGGTGATCCACTTTAGTGTACTTAAGGGATTAAATATACTTAGGGTTATAGTTGAAGTACCAAAATAGACCTACCTCAAAAATAAGGGACAATAGTAAAAAAAGAAAATCACAAAAGTTAGTGAAGAAGAAAAAGCTCATGCAACTGACAGCTCATAGTAAAACAATTTGGGGCTCCTTGAAACGAACTATTAAGCCCTAAAATTCTACAAACAAAACATGGCAATTTCTTTCATAGTTAAAGCTTCAATCCAGCTTCATTGTCGAGCCATTTTCATTCCCTGGTCAGTAGTTTTCCTCACTTTGGGTTTTATCTTGAAGAAAGTTTATCATTCTTACCCTATTAAGTTCTTTACTAGCAGCTGCAACTATGTTTGCTAGAGTTCTGACTATTGAATGTTCACACATATTACTGCATTTGCTGATGTATAGTAAGTATCTTTGTAAGCTGACAACTTTTTTTTAAAAGTGCTTCTGTGAATCTACAACGTGTGTTGTGTTTAAGCAAAGGTTTGGTTTTTAAGGCAAAAAATGACCATAGAAAAGATTACCCAGTTCATTTTCCAAATTACGGAAATGGGTTTGATTTTTAGGGAAATATGACCAAAGAAAAGATAACAGCAGTTTATTGTTTAAATTATTGAAATGGGTATTTGTGTTAACTGGGGTTTTTAAGCAATGGTTTGATCTTTAGGACAAACATGACCATAGAAAATGTACTTGTGTTAAGTGGATTGTTTAAGCAAAGGTTTGATCTTTAGTATAAATATGATCACCGAAAGAGATTATAGCAGTTCATTATTCAAATTCTTGAAATAGGCACTTGTGTAAGTGGATTTGTGAAGAAAAGGTTTGAGTTTTAGGCCAAAGGTGACCATCAAACGATTATGATAGTTCACTCTCCAAATTTTTTGAAATAGGTTCTTTGTGTTAGGTGGGTTGGTTAACCAAAGGTTTGATTTTTAGACCAAATATGACCATATAAAAGGATAGAGCAGTTTGTTGTCCAAAATCATTAAATGGGTACTTCTGCGACATGAGTTTCTTAAGCAAATGTTTGATATCTAGGAAGGACATGACCGTAGAAAAGATTAGTGCTGTTCATTCTTCAAATTCTCCAAATCGGTACTTGTCTTACATGGCTCTGTTAAGCAAAGGTTAAATTTTAGGCAAACATACATAGCCATGGAAAAGATTAAAGCAGTTTATACTCGAAATTCTCGAGTATGGTAGTTGTGTCACATGGTTTAGTCAAGCACACTTTTGATTTTTAGGGCAAATATGGGCATAGAAAATATTACAGCAGTTCATTCTCTAATTTATCAAAATGGGCATATAACTATGGTATGTAATATATGTATGTTACTCTCGAGAAACTGTTTGATTTAATATGATATGATTATTAGGGTGCAGAAGTACAGTGCCATAAGCTGCTCCAGAGGCAGAGATTATAGCGCATTTCCAGTCAAGCACATTCCCAAGAAATCTAAAGAATGCCAAGAGTTGGAAGCTGCTTCACCAAGGAAGCCCTTTTTGGACATAGAAAAGCAGAGTTACGTGGATAGGAATGTTCAGGAAACTGAATTTTCTGTTGGTGGAAGGTTGAAGAATGGAGGCATATCTTTTGATTCCAAGTCTCAAAATCATAAACAAAGGCTTCTGACCAGCATAGACAATGAGGTTGAATGGGGTATGATTGGATTTATCCACACCTCTGTTGTTCTTACCTGTAGTGAAACTCGTATTATAATGCAGCGTTCAAACTATGGAAAATGAGAAAATAAGAAGTTATTATGGAATTTCAGGGAAGGAAGATGAAGTTAACGGGCGTGCTGAAACTGATAAAGCTAGAGTTGATGCAGAAAGGATAGCAGTTCAATTACTTGCTTCAAGGTTAGAATATTAAATGTCTTATATCTCTCTATCTGGTCGTTAATTATTTGCTATCAACTGTTATTTGCTACTGCGCTGATCTGACTTCCAACCTGATCTTTTCAAATGGTGTTGAAGACTCTAAGGTGCATATTAGACGGATAAACATTAATTTCCTTCTTTATATGTGTGCATAGAGCTATATGAGTGTGGCTTTCAGGGAGAGAATGATGTGCCAATGATGAAATTGTTAGACCTTTGTTGATGCACATGAATTCTCTTTCCAGTCAGTGAAGCTAAGAAAAGAAGCCCTTAGATTGATGCAAATGGAGCTTCTTCTGATGCATGCTTTTTTAAACTGTGCAGAGCACTCACAGCTGCAGAACTGAAGAAGAAACTCCTGGGAAGAAAGTTTACAATCAGTGTTGTTAATGCTGTAATAACAGATTTCCATACCAGGTAAATTGAACTGCCATCAAGATATTCTCCATCAAAGTAGTCAACCCGGTCTTTCGTAACACATAGATGTTATTTCAAATCACAGTCATATCTTGGCTATGGATGTACAGCTGTCACTTGTTCACCGACATTGTACTATTTTTATCTAGACGTTAAGAGTTACACTTAGACATTAAGTGGTAACTTTTTTTTTTCCTTCTCAAAAAAAGAGTTACACTTAGACTTGCTAAAAGGAAATTTAGTAGAAGAAGAAGATAGTGCAATAGGTTTTGTGTCGTTTCTGAGTTGGTAATTCTTGGCTCAATCTCAATTTCGCCATAATGACCTCATTCTTATTTGTTCTGTGTGTTTCTCTAGGGGTTTAATCAATGATAGTCTGTATGCTGAAATGTTTTCTCGGTCCAGATGGTCTTCCTCAAGTTGGGGCCCAAGACGAATCAAGCAAGTAAATTTTCCTCTTTGTCAACTACTTCACTGAAGGAGATTTTGAGCTTACTTTTTTATGCTTCTGTATAGAGTGAATTGGTTGTACGGTTCCAAAATAATGGGTTTCTCACCTACCTTTTGTTTTTTCATTTTGACTTGGTCTTATTTGGGCTAGCATTGGAGAGCAGTTAGTAAATATCTTCATGAATTTCCCTTGGGTAATCTGGAATTTTTCTTTTTCCATCCACTTAGGAGGACACAGGAGCATATATGTTTCTTATTACATCCAAACTTGAGTACTTAACAAAGAGAAATAAATAATTTTAACATTGCAAGTATAGTGCAATTATGGAGGTACAGTCTGCTATTTAGTTATGATGTTCCAACCATGTGGTCCTTCATTAGTTCTTTTGAGTAGTTACACTCTTTTCTTCTCACCTCCATTTTATTATACAGAGGGGTTGCTTTGGTTTTGTTCTGCTTTTGTCATAACCCGATTGAACATCCTTATCATTTTACGGATTAGGCCTTGATCAAGAAGGGTGTAAGCGAAGCAGATGCAAACAAGGCCGTAAAATTGGTTTTCAAGAATGACGAAGCTGGTGAAGAGGACGGCTCAGGAGAATCAAGAGTTACTATGTCGAGACCTTCTCGGGATCAATTGTTTGTCCAGACATCTAAGCAGTGGCTTAAAGGGCAGGGTGTGCCTAGAGAAAAACGTAAAGCAAGGATTGTTCGTTGGCTTCAGTACCGTGGCTTTGACTGGAGTGTGGTTAGTTTCATACTTAAGAAGTTAGAGTCCAGCTATCCTGAGTAGAGCCTCATTACACAGCGAAAGGGATTATGATGATTTTGTTTGCTGATGCCATTGCCGGATGAAGTAGGCAAGAGCACTGCTTCCTACTGTAAAATGGCTCTTAGTGGAAGTACAAGAAAATGGATCAGTTATTCACTCTATTGTTGCCATCTCAAAAATAGTTTGAAGTGTTAAGATCAACATAGAAGGCGGGTTGTGTGGGCGATATATTCATCTTGTTATGACAGGAATGAGCAGTTTCACTGGAAGTAATTGTACCTTGTGCCACATTAACCAGATTGTAAATAAGAATGCTTCAGTTTTCAACTATATGTTCTCTGCTTATTCATATTAATAGAGAATGTTTGGATACCTTGCTATGTATCAATTCTACCTATTAAACTGTTTTCAAAGAAATGGTATCATGGTACTACATAAAACCCACATTATGGGGGTAAATTCCAACGTGAAATCGAAGTTAAGTGACATTCATCCCCTACGAGCAAGCATACTAATTGCTTAAAAGCTTCTCTCAGAAATCACATGAGCATGTGATGGGGCCAACTCATTGTTGGCAGCTGGACTATTTCTTGCGAGACACTTGGGAATCTTATTTCTATTCAATAAATTAGGTGATCTTTTTTTCATCTGTTTTAGTTTTGATGGACAGAATTATACTTATGTTGGTGAGAGGTAACAGGTAGGTCCCGATGGAACAGAAAAAGGAAAAGAAAAGAAAGATTGATAGACTATAGAGTACCAATTGGTATGTAAACAAACCAATTTCAGATAATGATGAGCACTGATATTTTCACTCTATAATACTAATGCTAAATTGAAAACACCCTTACTAGGATTACATGATTGAGGAATGGAAATGATTATAATTAAAATCTATAACCTGCTCTAAGTCATACTGCTATGAAACATGGCATATTCACAAGTTTGTTCGCTATGCTGAAGCCTTATTTGGAGATAGAGTTATCAGAAAACACAAAAGAGCAGCTACAGGATAATTGGGAATCCACATTCTTGGTTCCAGGTGATTTTGGAAGAGCTGTTACACTTGCATTTTTCTTTAACAGGTCAGATTCAGACATAACAGGATCAACGTTTCGAATTTCCTTGAGCATGGCTACAACATCCCTCATCATTGGACGATCATCAGCTTTCGTGCTCACGCACAGAAATGAAACAGCTAAAGTTTGCAGCATTTCATGCATCTCAGGGTCAGCCCTTCCCCTAAGCTTTGGATCAAGAATGTCATTTGGATCGCGCTTGCTTTGTAAGTGCTCGCGCACCCATTGAACTAAGTGTGCACCCCCAGGCAATGTTGGATCCAATGGATGCCTTCCTGTTAGTACCTCCAAGAGAACCACACCAAAACTATACACATCACTCTTTTCTGTGATCCGTTGCATCGAAGCATGTTCTGTGGGTACACAACAAGGGCAGTGTCTTTGTCAATTCAGGAAAAGTTGATCTGCAAATTAATCAAGCTTAGACAAAAGGGATAGTATAAATAATTACCTGGAGCCATATAGCCATAAGAACCAGCAAGATGAGGCCTTTGGCTTTGCTTCAACAAGTCAGCATCAACATCAGTGTTGACAATCCTTGCCAACCCGAAGTCGGCCAGGTAAGGCTCCATTCTAGGGCCTAACAATACATTCATTGCTTTGACATCTCCATGCATTATAGGAGGTACACAATCATGATGCAAGTATGCAAGTGCATGAGCTACTCCAATGACCACATCAAATCTGGTCTCCCATTCTGCTGCTCCTTTGCCAACACCGTGGAGCAATGAGCTCAAACTCCCATTGGATAGGTAGTCATAGAATAGTAGTTTCATGTTCTGGTTTGAAGCCCAACCAAGGAGGCGTACAATATTCTTGTGACGGATTGAACCTAGAGTACGAATTTCTGAACTAAACGCTCCTGATTCCTCTGATGACCACATTTTCTTGACTGCCAGAGTAACCCCATTTTCGGTCATTACCCTGTACACAACTCCAGAGCTTCCAGTGCCAATGACATTAGCTGATGTTAGATTATGAAAAATGTCATCTATTGAGAAGTCCAACTTCTGGTAAAGAGTCATTTCCCAAGCATCAACATCTGGAGATCTGTACTTGGCCGCTCGTGTCCTGATCAAGGTGTAAATGGCTAGAAGCACTAGCACAGCACTTATACTGACAAGGATCGACATAGCAAGTTTCATGGTTGATTTGGCACGTCGAGCGGGTCCCAGTTGAGTCACATCCCCACCAGAGATGTAAAGAGCTTGGTTTCCAGTAAGATCACTCAAAGGAAGCTTATGAAAGAATTGGGTATTGGGCAGTTTCCCGGAGAAGTCATTGAATGATACGTTGAGTGAGACAAGGTTTTGAAGGTCTGTAAGAACATCTAAATTCCCGATGAGTTTGTTGTGGGAGAGATCAAGGTTTCCTAGTTTGCTAAGACCTGAAAACTCACTTGGAATCACGCCTGTAAATTGGTTACAACTAAGGTTGAGAGAGATTTCCAGGGATGGTATTTTACCCAACTCTTTAGGTATATCACCTGAGAAACCATTGTACCCAAGATCTAACAGCTGAAGCTTACTACAAGAAACTATCTCTGCTGGAATTCTGCCAGAAAGTTGATTTTTCCCAAGATTCAGTTTTGTTAATTCAGCTAAAGAACCAACACTTGGACTTAACGAACCCGTAAGCCTGTTGTCTGAAATGTCTACAAACTGTAGGCTTTTAGGCAGGGTTTCTGGCAAGGGACCAGTGAATGCATTTGAATGGAGATCAAGAAACTCAAGATTTTGACAACCAGATAATGATGCAGGAATTCCTCCCATAAAATGATTGTGACTCATGTCAAGGAAATTCAAACTTCTTAAGTTTCCTATCTCCAATGGAACAGTACCACCTAGCCTATTGTTATTCACCCTGAATCTGTACAAGTTTGTGCAGTTTCCAACATCAGGTGGTATAAAGCCAGACAGATCATTGGAAAGAAGCAGCAGTTTTGTTAGATTATTCAAAGCAAAGATTTCTTTTGGTATTGGACCAAAAAGATTGTTGTAAGAAAGGTCTAGAGCCTGAAGATTCTCACATTGAGATAAGGAAACAGGAATATTGCCTGTTAAATTATTTTTCCATGCAAAGAATAAAGTCAAGCTCTTTAAGTTTCCTATTTCATTAGGAATCTGGCCTGAAATATCATTGTTGTCAACTTCCAAATGAGACAGAGAAGTACAATTAGATATTTCAGGAGGTATAATACCTGATAACTGATTGACACTCAACTGCAACTCCTCAAGACCTAAAATGCCACCCAAACTAGTAGGAATGCTACCTGTTAAAAGATTCTCAGATAAATCAATAACTGTAAGAGCTTTGCAATTTCCAAGCTCATTAGGAATCACACCAACTATGCTATTTTGCCATAGCAATAAGCTCTGGAGCTTTTTAAGCTCCCCTATACTCCGCGGGATCGAACCTGAGATTGAATTTTGATACAAGTACAAGTTCTGGAGTTCACTGCAATTACCAATCTCTTCTGGAATTGGTCCAGACAAGAGAGCTGTGTAAATTGCAATGGTCTGAATCCTTTTCAGGTTGCCAATTGAAGGTGGCAAATTCCCTGAAATGCCTGTTTCAGCTAGGCCTAGAAAAACCAAGTTGCTGCAGTTTCCAATTTCCAAAGGGAGTTCACCCTTAAGATTTTGATTTCCACCAGCTCTGAATTCCTCAAGATTGCTCAACTTTCCAATACCCTTTGGAATCTCACCACTCAGTTGATTGTCATAAATCAAGAGATTCTTGAGACTGGACAAATTGCCAATTTCAGAAGGAATATCACCTTCAAGATAATTTGAACTGAGAGACAAAATTTGCAGCTTGTTAAGCCTACAAATTTCTTGTGGTATGGTACCAGTGATTGAATTATCACTAATATCAATGAGATTAAGCTCAAGATAGTCTCCAAACTCTTTTGGGATTGGACCACTGAGATTAGCAGATGAAAGAACAAGGGTGTTCAAGAATTTGAGGGGCTGAAAATTTGAAGGCAATGGTCCTTGTAAATTTACTGACTTGAGACTTATACTCACAACTTGACCATTAGAGTTACAGTGTATGCCAAACCAATTACAGGGACTTTTGTCTAAAGCATTCCAAGATTTCAAAACATCATTGGAACTGTTTAATGTTTTTTTCCATGCAACAAGTGCCTGACTTTGTACATCAATAGAATAACAAGAAGAGAAGAAAAGAGAGTTAAAGGAGAGAAATAAGAAGATATTGGAAAAAAGAAGAAGAAAAGGATTTGTTGAAGGAGCAGGCATTGCTGCTGAGAGGGGAAGAAGAGAGAAAGTTGAGAGAACTTTGGGATTGTAAAGGGGGGAACCCCATGTTTTGTTTATAGAGGAAAAGCAATAGAAGATCTGGATCCAAGAGCACTTTCAATTTTTCTATTATTATTATTGCACTTGGGATAGTTGTTAATTTCAGAGTTGCTGATGCATATGGCTTCCTTTGGCTTTATTAATTCATTATTAATGTTCATATCAATACCATCTTTTCCTTTCTTCCTTTGGCTCCTATTTGTTTCTTTTGTTAATAATTCTCCAATTGTAGTTTTTGCTTGTCACAAAATACATATATGACTAGTGGTGGCAAAATGGTTAAAAGAAAACAGTTAACTACTCATATTATATACTAAAAAATGGCTTGGATAATAAACTTTTTAAAACGGGTCAAATATGGATAAGAACCGTATTATCTATTTAGAAAATGGATAACCAATGAGTTTAATTTTTACGTTTGTAAAGCCTCAAATTGAGGTTTCTTCAAGTTTGGGAGACTAGAAATTCTCCCAAAAGTGATCATCTTCAAGAAGTCATGGATAATATAGTTACTCATATTATCCGTCGGTTAACCCCTTTTTTATCCGTATTAAATATGGGTTGGGTCGGATAACTTATCTGTTTTTTTCATTACCCGTTTTCGACCCGAACCATATCTAACCCGACCCGCCCGTTTGCCGCTCCTATATATGACTATCTTTTATCAGTGCAGGTCCCAAGGGAAACAAATGCTGGTTTTAAATAAGTAATTATCACATCCTTCTTTTTGTTGCATAATTAATGTCTGAAATAACTCTTTAGTGAGGCCAAGTTGCTGCAATCTTGTTATGTTTTAATTACTAGGTACAATTCATTTAAATGGAGCAATATATAATCAACTGCCTGCAGATTTTTCTATTGTTTGGTTTTTTTGGGTGGGGGTCAGGATAATAGGGTATGTATAGGTATTAAGAGGCTATATTTGATTTGGTTGAGGGGGTTATTCTGGTAAATATTTGTTGGTACCAGAAGTTGGAAGGAAGAGCATGTTCTTTCAAATGGTTTAAATAAGAGAAGGTGCAGAAATGGTCCATCATATCATATGCAGTAGTACAATAGTATGAGTCAGCCACATGTATTATAAGACTTATGGCTACTAATTTTAAGTGACTTTGTAATGAAGGAGAGGAGGGCAAGAACTGAGGGCAGAGCCAAGTCTTCTACTTTTTATTTTATTTTTCATTTTATTTGGGGTAGCTTTAAAAATATTTTTTCAAAAAATATATACTATTTTAAAATAACAACAACAGCAGCAGCAGCAAACAGAAGAGCATTTTGATAAGTTTTGAAATATTCCTGTTAAATATTAATAATAATATCTAAGTGTTAAATGACTTCTATCCTATCAAACTCGCATTTAAAATTACATTTAAAGGACAGATAGGAAAATGAAAAATAAGATAGAATAAGTTAGTAAAAATAGCACGGTATAGCCAGTTTTCGGACTGGTCAATCAAAAATAGCCAGCATTTACCAAGTCAATGAAAAATAGTCACCGTTTTGCTGCAATAGAGACCGGTCCAGCATAATATACTGGAGTTCGGTGCACTTGTGTATGAACTCCAGCATATTATGCTGGACCGATATACTTTGCTGGCTCCAGTATAATATATTGGAGACTGGAGCACTGGTGCTCCAAACTCCAGTATATTATACTGGACCAATATACTTGTTGGAACTCCAGTATATTATGCTGGAGTTCTAGTGTACTTATGCTGGAACTCCATCATATTATGTTGGAGTTCCAGCATACTATCCTGGAACTCCAGCATAATATACTGGAGTATTTTCCGGGTTTTGAACAGTGTTTTCGCTCAGATTTATCTTTACATAAAAAGTGGCTAAATTTCAATTACTTTTGAAATTGAGCTATTTTTGAACGACCAGTTGTAAATCTGGCTATTTTTAAATTTCTACCAATAAGTTATGACTACATGTTCTAAGAATAGGAATAAGTTAAAAGAATTTATATGTCAAATCTACTTCGTATTTATGAGTTATGACTAATTAAAATTCAAACTGACATTTATCAATACCTTTTCACAAAATAATTAACCACGAGGGATCATCAAAAACTTCCGTTGCCAACCTTCTCACCAGAAATTAAATAAACACAGAGAGAAAAACAAAGAGACAAAGGAGAGTGTTAATTTGAAGCATAGGGATCTGGATCTGCAATTCTTAGGAAGTAATAGAAGAATAAGTGCATGAATTAAATTTATATTTCTAAGACAATGATTATGCTTATAATATTAGTATTAGGATGGAGATGCTCTTCTAATTAAATTAGAGAGAGTTGAATCTGAGCCTGAGCTAGGGTGGTGTAGTAGTGAAGAGCACATGCAGGTTTAAAAAATTATTAGGGTTAATTACTTTTATTAAACTGCAAAAGTTTGAGGTCATGTTGTCGGGTGGGCTTGCTGTAAAGGATATTAATCTTGTCTTAAAATAATAATTAAAAGAAAAAGAAGAAGAGCACTGGCCTTGAATTGGAGAGACAAAACCACAACATCTTAATTTTTTTTTGTATCACAAATCAACCCAAAAAAAAACAAAAAAAGCAATTGTAGATTAGATCTCAACTCTCGTGCTTTTCCATTTAGCATAATTCGATCACGGGCTCTTCACTTTAAAAATCAAGAAAAAAAAGGAAAAAATTGACGTTCATTATTTCTTCATCAATTAATAAACTAGGCAAATTGCCACATAGTAGATGTGTCTTTTCCTTCTATGAAATTTGTTTCATACATTACATTTAACAATATGGCTAGCGATGTTCCTTTTCCGGGTTTGAGCTCGGTATGGAAAAATTCTTGGTAGGGAGCGCTTTCCCCCCGAAGGGGCTGCCAAAATAAAATATATTTGGGTTCCAATACAAATATCGAACACCGGGTGAAAAAAAAAAAAAAAAAAAACAATATGGTGCAGTCTATAATGGCAGTTACGCTATTTTAAGTGGTTAATCACAAACTGTGTGATCAATGGTGTAGAATTAACTCCTAAATGTCTGTCTAGTCAATTATTCTGCACGCTTCTCGAGGAGAACCAACTAGCTCTAAATTCAAGTAGGATTTCATCCATACCTACAACTTAATTATCCTTTGATCTTCAATATAAGTCTACTCAAACTTCCACTTAGTTTCACACAAATTTCATCCTAGTCATGGATAAATCACACTATAGGTTCTGGTTCATAAACAGTAACAAGTTATTAGTATATGAAAACTAGTTTTCGCTATGCTATGGTAATTTTCTTAATCAATTAAGCCACTGCCTATGAGTTACCGGTTTATCTCCATTTTCTCAATCTAATGCCTTTGCCTACTGGATTAATGAATGTTTAAATCATTAAACATTACTTAAAAAAGAAAATAAAGGGAGAAACATTAGCCAAACATAAAAAGAAGCTAAACTCCAAAATGGGGATGAAAAATTCTGTATACGATAACGGACCCTTTCTTTTAAGTGTAAGTTGTTCAGCTTTTTCTCCTTTGAGCCTGAAAAGAGTAGGTATCTTTAAGAAAGTACTTCTGGATTTTAATGTGGGAAAAAAGTCACGTTTGTTACTTAGCAAACTAGTGAATAGTCATTCTCTTTAAGTAGAAAGATGATCTGACATTACTACTATTCCATAAAAAATAGCTGTCTATTCTCTATCTTTCCATGAATTAATTAAAAGCTCCTCATTTTCTCTGTTCCAGCATTGCTGGTGGTGAAATATTTTCTTGAGCTTTGCATGGTAAAAATATAAGAGACCATTAATATTGAGAATATGGTACGTAGTTAATCTACAATGCGAAGCTACTGTAAAAATTCTATACAATTTTGTGAAAAGTGTTGTTACTATACAATTGCATTTATTGTTTCTGGTTATTAGTTCCACCCTCCACTGTACTTGTACTTAACCCACTATACAAAGTCGATGTTCATAACTATATGAAAGTTTGTTTAGACATGGATGGGACCTAACTGTCAATGAAATTAGTGAAATTTTTAAGAGATAAAGGTTAAAATTTCAATAGAGACAAAAGTATTACTCTTATTAGGTAATTTCTTTCTAAATATCTAAATCTTGATGGACAATAGAATTATCCAATATATGTATTAGTGAGAAATGACAGGTATACAATGCATTCTGGATTCAAGTTGCTCAATTGAAGAATGTGATTTGATCGAAGAAGCTCCCTAGTTCCTTAGTTGCGTAAATTTTGAGTTATCGTTTTTCAATGTAACCTATTTAGAAATATAATCGCAGATAAATAATTTTGGGAATTTGTTTGATGTTTTAGGCTAGAGTTTATAGTCTAGGAGAGGAAGCTATAATTTGGTTGATTGTAGGGGTTAAGCATGTACTAGAGTTTATAGTCTCTTGGTTATTAAGTTATAACCGAAAAATTGCTTTTATTATTTAGTGAAATCTAAAAAAATCCTACATGGACAGGTTGTGGTTTTTTACTGCCTTGAGCAAGGAGACTTTTCACGTAAAATAACTTGTATCTTTAAGTTTATGCACTTTACTTTGTGATTGATACTGAAATCTGCAAGTTCTTTAACACGCAAAAATCGGGCAAGACATAATTCACCCTTCTTCCTGTATCCAGGACATTTATATATATAGTTACTACCTAATCATAATTAATTATATTCGATGATTTACAATGAAATAACATGTCCTTTAATGTATAACGTTCAAATATTAGTGACAAGTTGCGTTCTAGATGGACCTGTCACAAATAGTGACGGAGCTAAATTTTTTTATTAAGAACGATCAAAATATAAAGAAATAAACCAATAAAAAAGTCAAAGCTTAGTTCACCTAGCTAGAGAGGGTAATTTTCTGAGAATGACTCCTTTAATACATGTGGCTCCGCCACGAGCCACATGTCATATAGCTTCTGTACCATTTACTCACATAATTACAGTATTAATTTGATATACTTTTATTTGTTTCTCTAAAACTATGCTTTTCTTTTGTTGAATTTCACCTCATTCTCACACTGCAGACATGCTTTTCTTTTGTTGAATTTATTTGCAATTTGGTTATTCTTGGTCTGAATCAGAT